GGTATTGCGGTGCTAAAATGGAAAGATGTTCGCGATGTTAGAATATTATCAACGAAGCATCCACCCATTATGACTTTGAGTTCTGATTCTAATGTCTAATGCAACCGCGATACGAAAAAGTATGAAGTGGTATCGTAAATTACATTTCCTTTTGGGAGCAACCATTGCAAGTGCACATATTGTATATCAAAAAATTACAAAGCAAAAAACAGAAATAAGAAAATTTAGAATGGTTTTTCTCGGAAAATACTACCGAAAACAATAAAAAAAAATAAAATGAAAAAAATGTCTCCTTATTTAGAGATTCGTAAGAATTACCAAGAAAAATCTATAAGAAGAATGTGCATCCTATGTTATAGGAAGAAAAGAGAAATTGTCGAACGCCAAAAAGCGAGAAAAAAATATTAAAAGAATTACAACTTATTGTCCTAAATGTCCAAAATCACCACAAATGTGTTTGAATTGTTTTAATGAATATCATAATATACCATAATATAATGTAAATATAAATTAATAAAATATACGGTATAATGTAAATAGTTTAATATATTTATTTTGTATATTAATAAAATAAAATTTAATCTTAAATTTCATCACCCATATATACAGTACAAAATAATACCAAGTTAGTCATTGGAGATGAGAATTTTTCGAATATCGAGAAAGCAAGAATAAAACAAATGATGTTGTTGACTTCAACGACCAAGTGCGAGAAATCATATTCGTATACAAGAGTTTAGTGAAAGAAAATCATGACAATGTTGGACACCCAGGCATCCGAAAGACGTATGAAAGAATCAAAGAAAGATACCAAGTTCCGGATCTAATGAAAAAAATAGAAGAAAGAATAAAACAATGCGAAACGTTTGAAACCAGCAAAGTTTCAACAAGAACCAAAAGAAAAGAAGAACCAGTAATTCTCGACACACCAATACAAAACCGAACGACAAGATAGCAGCAATCGGACCATTACTTAAAACCAAAAGAGGAAATCAATTTACACTATCAATACGATGAGTTGACCAAGTATTTAATACTAGTACCCTTGAAAAATCAAAGAACCGAATCCATCTGGCAAGGATTACTCGATCATTGTATTGCATCATCAAAAAAGATTCTTACTGACAGAAGACAGAATTTTATCAGCGATTTAATGCAGAAATACGAAAAAGCATTCAAAATAAAACACATAAAGACAACGAGTTTTCATCCATGTTCAAACGATAGTTTGAGAGAGAATCAATGGAATAATTTTGAACATATTAAAGAGTATCCAAAACAACGAGAATAGGATCAATTATTGAACTTCCTATCCTACAATACGATTATACACGATTCAACCGAATTCACATCTTTTGAACTTACGTAATTTGGACGTAAAGCTAACCAATCTTCTACCATATCCCAACATCCTCAACGCTTCTGAAACACTTAGATGTAAACTCGAATGGGACGCTAAACTTAGAAAAGCCATGGAAACTTTAACCCCTTAACCTACGATTTAGATTCGAAGATGTTGGGCCGAAATCGTATACAAGCTCGCGTTCGGGTAATTCATGATAGACATCGCCCGTGGTAGGACGATCGCGGTTTGTAGATAGCACAGACAAGGCTCGTGATGTATTTCTGTTATCTCTTCGGATCGTGATCTGTGTCGAGTTGTTCTTGGTCACATTCGCACGTCGAAATTTACGTTCGTAAATTCTAGAAAAGCAACCCCAGAAGATATTCTCAAGAAAGAGATTTCGTGATGAAAGCAGTGAGAATTTTGCTAACGAAAGTGAAAGTAGTGACGATATATCTCGAGTTCGAAGAAAGTGTAGCCGATTAGTTATTGATGATACATCCGATGACGATCAACTATCCTGGCCTTGGAAGGAATAAGAAATAGTCCAAAAATCTGGGACTATACGATGACTCCTGGCCTTACAGAGGAAGCCTTATGTCAATTAGGAGGAGAATTTGATATATTTAATCTAATATTTGATGACATATTTTGGAACAATATTGTGACCGAAACTAACCAGTATGCAGATCAAATACGAGAAAATCCACATAGAACACGAGAAATCGACGACGCTTGGTTTCTTGTAGACTCTACCGAAATGAAAAGATATTTCGCCTTGACCATTATAATGTCACAGGTAAAAAAAACAGTAAAGAATCCAAATGAATTGGTCGAAGAGGGCTGTTATCGAAACGCCCATATTTAGAAAATCAATGCCTTTGAAGAGATATCTATTTAATTACAAGGTTTTTCTCAAACAATAATCTGATACCGATAAAATGAGCAAGATTAAACCTGTTATTAATTTTTTGAACCAAAAATTTAAAGAAGTGTATATAATGAAAAAAGACATTTCTATTGATGAATCGCTTATGAAATTCAGGGGGCGTCTATCGTATAAGCAATTCAATCCATCCAAAAGGGCAAGGTTTGGCGTCAAAATTTATAAATTATGTGAGTCAGGCTATTGTTATCAATTTAAAATATATACCGGCAACGATAAAATACACTGTGATGACAGCGCTTCGGAATGTGTTGTCAAAGAGCTTGCTGAGTCAGTGCTGTACAGGGGTCACATTTTATACATGGACAATTGGTATTCTTCCCCAAAATTACTTATGACGTTATCACATAAATATAAAACAAATGTAGTTGGCACAGTACGTTCGAATAGGAAGAATATGCCAAAAGATTTGTGCAGTGTAAAATTAAAAAGGGGATAATAAGAAGCTGCAACCGAATACTCGCTATAAAATGGAAAGATAAGCGAGATGTATATATGATGTCGACAAAACATGAAACAGTCGAAATTATTTCACAAAGATCCAACCACACCCTAAAACCGAGTTGTATTGCAGAGTAAAACCACGGAATGAACGGAATTGATCTCCAAGATCAAATATTGGCATGTTTTCCGTGATGCGGAAATACATGAAAGGATACAAAAAATTTTTTTTTTATCTATTTGATATTGGTCTTTTTAACTCCTACATTTTATGGAAAAACCTGAATGATGGAAAAGAGCAATGCTATGTCGACTATAGGATCAATATAGCCGAATCTCTATTGAAGAATATGCCAAAACCGATTTATAGAGAACGAGGCGTATCATCTGTCGGAGATGCGCCAGACAGACTGTACGCGAAGGACTGGGCTCATTTTCCAAAGCACATTGATCCAACACCCTCTTAATCAAGACCGTCAAAACGTTGTACAGTTTGTCACAAAAATGAAAAACGTAAGGAAACAACATGGGAGTGTAAAAAGTGTAAAGTTCCGTTACATGTACCAGAAACCAGCTTTGAATTATATCATACCGTTACAGATTACTAATTTTGTATTTTGGATTTTTGTATAATAAACAATTATTGCATCAGGCTGTAATGTATTGCATATCAAATATTCCACGTAATATTCACTTCTGGCCCGACCATCGTACGCGGGCTCATTGTAGGTTAAAGGGTTAAGGAAAACCATTAAATGGTTCAGGAAGATAGCACTAGAATTAATCTGTGATACCATATTAGTGAACGCATAGTGTCTATTTACTACATTTGGTGCTCGTAAAAATGTGTGTGGTGAGGTGAGGCAACGGTGAGGCGCCGGTAACTTTGCCTAAGCAAAGGCAGTTGCGGCTCTTGTTTATGTTATCCATAACAATCGCCTTAACCGTCGAATGTTCTGGATCAAAACACCTGGACCTATGCTGTAATTGGGCATCGACATGTTCCCCACTCATAATTGGAACACTACCAATCAGTCAGAAGAGAGTCGACCAGAGGCTAACGATCACTACCGCACTAACTCTCCAACTGAAAGATCGTAGTCAATTCAATCAAGTCGAGTCAATCGTTATTGGACACCCTGCCTCCGATCATTGGACACGGTCATATTGAGTTGGGACACAGCTTCCAAAAAAGACATCGGCATTAGTTCGACAAGCGACTAACTTCGGCAGCGGCGAAAGCAGACATTATCATTACAATAGAATGCCATTTGGACTAAAGAACGCTACCTTCCAACGTATGATGGACACTGCACTACGTGGATTGATCAACAAACACTGTTTCGTTTACCTAGATGACATTATAATTTTCGGACAAAGTATGGAAGAATGTTATAGGGTATAAAAGTTCACAAAATTTTATCTACAATTTTATTATTGAACGTTGCTAGCAGTGACGCTATTCTGTAGTTGGCATCCTTTTGTTTATCTTCGATACGCGATCGTCAGTTGCTGTTCTGTAGTCCGACACGTGCACTCACGTATAACCAAAAATATATCCATTCAGCTAATCAGTATATTTCTTATTTATTGTTCACCATTGCATAACCAACCAACAAAGAACATAGCAAGAATCTAGCCATAGTATTACAAAGACTCAAAGACCTCGGACTAAAGATACAACCAGACAAATGCGAATTCTTAAAACCTGAACTTGAATACTTAGGACATATAGTAACCGCAGATGGAGTGAAACCAAAGGAAATCGAAGCTGTGAAAACCTTTAACACGTTCGTCGCCCAGCGTGATTTCGATGAATTCCTCACAATGTTGCTGCCCCAGACCAGGGGCAGCACTTGTAAAGCGTAAAAGTCAGGTCTGGCCTTTATTTTCTACAATTCTGATACCTCTAATAGATTAGAATTTATGAACGGGCATGGTTTTCTCAATGCTTTCCAGATTTTTAATTTAACAAAGACGCCAGGCAATGGCCACTTTACAAGTCACACTTGCATGTTATGCCATGAACCACCGTGAAAGCCAGCGCAAAAATCTTGACCCCCCCCCCCTTCCCCTCCTTCGAAACCGTCCTCAAACGCGATGATTGGTTCTTTCAATCTCTTTTTGTATGCATTCTCACGAAAGGATTAGGGAAAAACAACGACCAAGCTCGCGACAGTCTTGCAGTTGACTCAGAATAGAAATAGACGAGATAGATAGAATTTAGCGACGATACAGTTTAGATCAAAACACAGTTAGAATATTAGCACACTATAAAAATATAAATGATGGTAAGGAAAATAGTGATGAAGAAATAGTGAATTTTAAAAAAAAAGTTTACAAATAAAATTTCATCAAGTTCAAGTTCGAATGATGAGGAATCATGTGCAAGTGAAGACCTTGACGAGATGTCAGAAGAGCTTGCTACAGACGAAGAAGAGGAAATACTGATGATTCTTTGGACGATATACTGTTTACTAACAAACAACAGTCATTTCCGTTCACTGGAAAGAGTGGATTTGCTCCTGTTGGATTTGCCATCTGACATGAGCCCAAGTGAAGTTTTTTCATTATTCTTGGATGAAAAAGTAGTAAGCCTTTTAGTCACAGAAATTAATGATATGCTGAACAAAAATTGCTTCAACGACTCGATTGAATAGATGGAAAAGTACCACTTCCAAAGAAATTAAAACATTTATCGCATTGATGATTTGGATGGGTCTAGTACAAACACCGTTCATTACATGTCGGTCAACGGATCTTATTTATAATTTTCCATTTTCGCGCAGCAAAATGTCTCGTAATCGAATTATTATTATCAAATTTACATTTTGCAAACAACGAGACCATACAATAGAATAGCAGAGTTGGAAAAATTTTACCATTCATACTGACAAACACAACTATCAAAAAGTCTTTTCACCAGGCCAAGATATTGTAGTTGACGAAACAATAGTTCATTGGAGAGGGCTTAGTAAAGGGGAGCGTATGAAGCAAATTCGCTAAACGCTTTTTATTTAATATGTTTGATAAAAAAAACGGAACGATCTAAACGTTTACGCACCGACAAATTTGCAACGATATCCGAAATATGGAATCAATTTATACACAATAGCCAATGCTGTTATAAACCTCACGAAAATATATTTTAATAGACGAGCAACTGTTCCCTACCAAAGCTCGCTGCAAATTCATACAATATACGCCAAATAAACCGCACAAATTTGGCATAAAATTTTGGTTGGCAGTAGATGTTCAATACGTTATAAATGGGTTACTTTACTTAGGTAAGGATGAAACGCGAACTTCAACACCCTTGGGCGAATTTGTAGTTTTAAAGTTAGCAGAACCGTGTCTTGATCAAGGAAGAAATTTAACCACGGATAATTTTTTCACCAGTATTCCTCAAGCTGAAAAATTAGTTGCAAAAAGAACCAGTTTAGTTGGAACTATTCGAGGCAACAGAACTTCCAAAGACAGCAAAAATCAAGAAAGATAAAATGATGTTGTATTCTTCAGAATATTATAAATCAGGAAAATGCATACTTACTATATATAAAAGTAAGTCAAATCTAAAGGTGCTGTTACTAAGCATACTTTTATAACAATAAAAGACAATAAAAAACATATTCAAATGGCTCGCAAATATACCACCAAATCAGCATCTTTTCGATGGCCACTCCAGGTGTTCTTCAACAATTTAGATTTAGCGGCAATAAACGCATGGATCTTATACACAGAGTGTACTGGATCAAAATTATCCAGAAAGGATTTTCTATTTCAGTTGGTCAAAGAACTTGCAGAAGGAGAAAAGAAAAAATACGCAAAACTTGCCAAATTGGCCTTTGTAAAAGAAACAGGAGCAAAAGCACCTGTAAAATATGTGAAAAAGTTGCAGCTCTTGTCTATGTTTATGTTTATGTCGCCTAAATTGTCGAGTGTCCTGGATCAACAGCATCTGTCTCCCGCCCTGGACCTATATTTCGAATCAGGGAATGTCGATGCCCAATTACAGCATCGATATCTTCCCCACTCATAATTGGAAGACTCCCCAATCAGCCAGGAAGAGAGTCGACGAGGGCTGCGGCCTTCCTGGCTAACACTCACTACCGATTAGGCCTTCGAGCAGTTCACACTACCGAATACTTCTCGGGCAGTCACGACTACCGCACCGACTCTCCATCAGATAGGTCGTAGTCACGAGTCGAGTCAATCGTTATTGGACACCGTGCCTCCGACCGTCTGACATGGTGATATTGAGTTGGGACACAGCCTTCCGAAAGAGACATTGCCCACCGGCATTAGGTCGACAAGCGACTTACTTCGGCAGTGGCGAAACCAGAGAGTGTATAAACAAAATTGAGTATTTGTGTAAAAGATGTGCGAAATAAATGTAGAATATTGAAATGTATAATAAAATTATTGAATAATAAAAACCTTCCCATAAATGTATATCTCATAATTTCATTTTTTTCTTATAGTATTTAATTACATTGCTTTCTAAGTGTTGTTATATGTATTCGTTCAAATTGACGAGTGTTAGTAGGTATATAAGAAACGTCGATAAATCTAGTGTTAAAAATACAATGTAAAATATAAAGAAATTTAACGCATAATTGAAAAAAATTGTTATGAATATGTAATGAGTAATCTTTATGTGTCAAATAAAGAAATTTAATTGAAGAACATTGTTACGAAACGTATTTAAATATACAATGTAGAATATAAAGAAATTTAACGCATAATTGAAAAAAATTGTTATGAATAAATGATAAGTAATCTTTATGTGTCAAATAAAGAAATTTAATTGAAAAATATTGCTATGAAATATATTTAAAAATACAATGTAAAATATAAAGAAATTTAACGCATAATTGAAAAAAATTGTTATGAATATATAATAAATAATCTTAATGATTATAATCTAAAAATTTAAAATTTGATATAAAAAAAAATAAAAAAAATATATCATTCGTTTGAAATTAAATAAGTATTTCAAATGTTTTAGTTTTCTTATCTATTATTTCTTCAATGCAATTTGAAAATGCAAAAGTATAAATAATTTAACTATTTTTCTCCTCAATATTTTTTACAAATTTATATTAAAAAATTAATAATCGTTTATAGAACAGAATTTTAGAACATAAATAAATATAAATTTCACACATAGTTCCAATCCATGCTAATTTTCATAGTTTTGTTATTTTTTAAAATTTATACCACAATTAAGAATTATAATGATACAAAAATATTTAAATCACGAGTCAAACTCGTGATAATACGGGAAGGGTTAAGAATAATATTATTCAGCTATGTCTGATGAGGAATATTTCATCATGAGAGTTTTAAAGAATTTGTTACGAGACGACTGATAACTTGGATGAAATTTGAGTGAAAATCAGATTTGAGTGAAGATTATAATGGTGAAATACATGAAATATACCAATATCGTCATCTGATTCGGAAG